GAGGTTGAGCACAACACTGTGAAGCTGTCCGCAGCCTCTGCAGTGCGGATTCGATTCCTGGCCGGCCAGGGAGTTTCCTACATGGCGAGACAGACCTCTCCTGTCGGGCCTGCTGCTCCCCTCAGCAATGTATTTTGGTCTGCTCCCCACTCTGTCTCTGGTGAAGCCTCTCACCCTCCCGTGCCTCTGGCCTGTACCCTAGCTCTTGTATAAAAAATAAATAAATATTTATACAAGAACCAGGGTACAGGCCAGATGTGTGGGAGGGTGAGAGGATTCACTAGAGACAGAGTGGGGAACAGAACAGGCAGACTGACTGAAATACACTTCTGAGGGGAGCAGCGGGCGAGCCAAGAAAGGTCTGTCTCACCATGTGGGTATCTCCCCAGTTGGTCGGGATTGAGCCTAGGCTGCAGACAGCTTCATAGCGCTGCGCTCAACTGCCTGTGCCACCAGGGAGGCCCAATAAATCAATCTTAAAAAAGAAAAAAAAAAACAAGAGATGACTTGGCCATTTGCTGTCAGCCATTACCTATCATTAAGCACACCAGAGACATGGTGTCAGGCATGAGCTACATGTGGGCCCGTGTCTTGGGATTCCATTCTCCAACACTGCTCTTTAAGTCATCAATACAGTAAAATACCTCAGAGTCCCACAAAACTTTGTTGTGACAAATGGTTCAATCAGACAATACACTCTAGAAGAGGAAGACTTTCTTCTTGACTGAAGTGAGTATTTTCCAGGTAGTGTTATGCCTTTCTGCTGTGACAAAGTACTATCAGAGCGCTTAGAGAATTTTTTCCAAATGATATTGCCCAACAAAATAATCTCAGTCCTGGAGATTTTCTTCACAGAAAAGCAACTGTGTAAATGGGTTACAGGAGGACAGGAAATGTAGATCCTACCATATCCTCTACCATGCCAAAGTTGTCTGCCTGAGAGTTAGGGAATGGTCTTTTGAAACTGAAGCTGAGAGGCTATTTTGCCTGATTGAGGTTCTGTGTGTCCCCAAGAGAAATAAATAAATGACTCAAAACCCCAAAAGATGGAAGAAGGAACAACCACACCTAACATTATTCCCCAGGATCCATTGTGGAACTTTTCCTGTCTCTGCAACTTTAAGCAAGGGAGATGTAATTTCCAGGGGGACTTCTTCAATGAGGGGGCACAGTTAAGCATCCTATTAGCCTTCAAGTTATGAGTGTTTCCTGCTCAATTCATGCTCCTTATGCCAAGAGCCTAGGAAGTAATCAGAGAAGTCACCACCCCAGCTGAAGTAATGAAGCCCGATCAACAGGAAGAGGTAGGGTTCTGTTACACAAGCTCATCAGCCAAGGGTGTACTTGGGATTCCAGTGACCCACTTTGGGTATTCTGTGGCTTTCCTCCACTGCAATTTGACAGTGTGGACAAGCAAAGCTACTGAAGCCTGAAAAGGCCCAATGATGGATGAGGTGCTCCTATCTGTCAGGAATGGAGGGTCTGGGTCATCCCACCAGACCTATACAGACGTTTAACCATTGAAAACATAGAATAAGAGAATCAGCGAATATCAGCTGCAACTGATTGTGTTAGGAATAACTGTCTTGGTGGACATGGTACTTCATATGAAATAATTTTGCTCTTGTAAGTTTCTCTTGCAAAGAGACCAGCAGAGTTTTCTCTTGGAAAACTCTGAAGAACTGTTCTCAGTTGGGGTGAATTTATGAGGCGAGGCAAGTAAATCTGAGAAGCACAGGGCTGAGCTCTAAGAGTTGCCCTCATGCCCCAACCACACCCCTGCTCAGAGTCAACACACTTATTTCCCCAACTTGCGTGTATTGGCTCTTTATGGCCCAAAGCTGGGACCATTCAGCTCCAGGCATCGCTCTCACCTAAGGTTGCCTTGCTCATTGTTTTGCCCCCTTTTCTAAACCCAGTTAGCACAGAATAGCTAGATGATTTGGGGGTTGAGGGGAGTGTCAAAAGCCCTAACCCCTTGCTTTGACTTTAGACAACTCAGTATGACCACTCCAGTATGACCACTCAGGATCCACTGAGGCTTCTTTTGCCAGCTTCTCCCTCTTCCCAATTTCTTTCTCTCATTCTCTTCAAGTGTTCCAAGAGCACTTTCCAATTACCTCCCTCTCAGCAGTATTTTTGGGAAACCTGGCATAAGGCAGTACCCTTTCATTTTCTCATAACATTTCCATGTTTCTAATTTATCTTCAACTCTATCCCCATGGAGCTAAAAGATCTAGCTGGTCTTGTCCCATAAACTTTATTTTCATTGTCCTTTTCCTGCCTCTTTCATTTGTCTTCCCTTCCTTTAGTCTTGATCAGCCCAACATACCTGGACTTTCAAACTGACATCTCATTGATAACATGGGGCCAGAGTTGGGACCTTTGCTCACAGCAGTTTTTTATAGTTGTGTGATATTTCAGCAAGCTCTGATACCACTGAAGGCCAGTGTTGCATTGATGTATGTACTCTAAGGAAGGCGAGAGGAAACAAATCCTACCTGAAAGCAGGACTTCAGCAGGAACCAACAAGCAAAGAGAAATGCCACAATCTAAAACTTCCTTTTCAATCTTTTCTTAAAGGCAGTATTTTACCAAGTAATGTAGGGGATATATACAAACAGCCAGGAACTTCAATTTGCATTTTTTTTTAAACTTTTGAATTGCTGCTTCCTTAGCACAGAAAATACTGCTTTTTGGTCTATCTATTTAGCTGTTTGATGAACCTATGTAGAATAAAAGAATATTGAAGGTTAACCTGGCCAAAAGTATCAAAGAGAAGCTAATGAAGACAATTTAGGAATATGCATAAAAATAATGATTTTTTTTTTTAAGGATTGGCACCAGAGGACTGTATATAATTTTAGAGCTTTTGAACTTTATTTTCAGCAATGTTGACTCCATCGTGTCATATTCTGCACCCCACAGAGTTGATTTTAGAAGGAGCAATCCTCGCTTCAAAGGCAGCTTTGTTCTTTGCACAATTCTGCTTCACATAGAATGGAATGAGAAACCTTTGTTTCTGCATCACAGATTTGTTATTGCTCTTCTGTCATAAAGATGTGATTCTACATTGATACATTTCTAACCATCTTGGTGTCCTTGACTGGGCAAATAACAGCTTCATTTTCCTTGGTTTCCTTATCTATGTAATGAAGACTTAGGCTAGTTTTTTGAATAACCACTTCAAACTTAAACACACACAGATATAAAGTGCTTTCACCAGTTTCTGAAAACTAACAAATCAATGAATGTTAACTTTCACATTTTTTTTTCATGAAGTTCTCATAAAGAAGCTACAACATAAAATACCATTCAAAAGTGGATTTGAACAATGACACCAAAGGAGAAATTAGAAATTCTGATTAAAACCATGAGTTTAACTTTCAAGTTTTACAAAACAGATTTTTAAAAATGTAAATTGAGCTATCAGATAATAATGCACACGTATCCAACTGAACTGCCCAAATGTACAATTCACATTTTGTGGTAACTTCATGCAAGAGAATTGTGGGAGCTTGAGGGTCCAAAGTGCTCCTGTATTGAACGTGAAGTCCTTCAACCTAGCTTTTCTTAGTGACTCTTACACATTATCAATTAATGCCTATACTCGTTTTCATAGACTGCTATATATAACACAAGTTCAGAGTGAAATCGAATCTCACCTGGATAAATAGCTTCTTTATTTTTTATTTATGCCTGCTCCTACCATAGTCTCCAGGAACATGCACATAGAGGACACCAAATTAATTGTCAGATCCTTCATTCCATGATCTGAAACCCACCCTGCTGATGCTCTAGTATCAAACAGACAAGTGACTGATGAAGCAGATGGGCCTTTTCCAAAATCCCTTATGAGCCAACAAATTCCAGACTTTTCAATCAGAAGGGAGAATTCAATTTCAAAAAGGAACACTTAAGGGGGGAAAGTCTGTATCATATTTTACCTTCTTCCTCTCAAGGAAAGGCAGCCTTTCCAAACAGCAGGTCTTTGAAAGTCTCATGACCAAGAAAACATGTAAATACCAAAGAAATTACCTCTTCTCTTTCTACTGAATTTTTACTCTATATGACTTCACAAGCAAAGTCAATAGTTTGAATTGTAGTTTAAAAAGATACAATTAAGATATTTTTAAAGCACAATCAAAAGAGTGAAAATGTCTTATTTTAGTCCAACAACAGGCTTACAAATCAACAAATACTGATTGAACTCCTACTATGTGCCAGACACCAGATATTCATGGCCACAACACATCAGGGTCTGTGCTTTTTACCTCAAAATATTATCCCTTTCCAAAGTATTAACACTTCCTAAAATATCATTTTCACTCCTGGGAAACTGAGGCAGAGAGAGGTTAAAATACCTGACCAAAGCCTTATTGTCCCTAGATGGTAAAACCATGATTCAAACCCTTATCTGCCTTCCAACAGACTTTTATTTTGATTGCTTTCACTTTTTATCATGTATTCAGAGTCGCTAGTAATTCAGTTGAATTGATCAGGAGCAGGGATATCTCACAAACGTTAGATAATAGACACAATAGATAATAGAAACATAATTCTCAACTTTCATAAACTAAATGTCACAGGGTATTTATAAAAATGGTTTGTCTTCTTTGAGAGCACTGTCCTAAAATATTCAGTATTTTCACCAAACATTTACCTTCTATAGACAGTTTATAATCATTTAACAACTTTTCAAATATTGTACGCCTTTGTATACCCTTTGTATATCAACGCTGGGGTATGAAATTCATGTTTGTGAAAATTGACACTCATTTTTTATCATGCTTGGCTGAGCAAAGGCAGGCAAGTTACTTCATCTCTCTGAACATTCTGCAATACTTTTATTAATTTAAGATTAAATTTTTAATATCTGCCCTTCACTTAGTCAACCATTCTATGAATTATTTACTTTTTGCATACTGTATTATCTGTGGACGCCATAATAAATTGCTATAAACTTGGTGGCTTATAACAACAAAAATGGATTCACTCACGGTTCTGAAGGTCAGAAGTCTGAAAGCAGGTGCCAGCAGGGTCATTCTCGCCCAGGAGGCTTGAGGGCTTTTTCTATCTTTGGTCATTGCTAGCAGTCACGACCTGTGGCTGCATCAGTCGTGCTAGGCTTCACCTCCGTGGTCTTCACCTTGCTTCCTCCTCTGGGCATCTTCTTTCTTTTATAAGGACGCTTGTTAATGGGCTATAGGGATCACCTGTGTGATCCAGGCTGCTCTCCAGCTCCTTAACTTAATTACATATAAAAAAAAAAAAACCCTTGTCCAAATAAAATCACATTCACAGGTTCTAGGTCATGTATGCTGCTTCTTATTTGGGGGTGTGGGAGTCTGTAGGTAAGGTAAAAGTATCAGGTTTTTCTGCCCTCCCGCCATTAGGATAGATGAGGGAACCCTGTGGTCCTGAATGCATGCCTGATGGCGGGCGCCTGAAGTGGGTACACCTGGGCTTTTAAGGGCGGCGTCACGGGGACGCCAGCAGGAGCAGAGAAGCTGAGAGAAGAAGAGTGAACGAGAAGAACCACAAGAGAAGCAGAGAATGCCAGAGAGCCTAGATAGAGTGAAGACTTGCTGGGGGCTGGGAGGCCTGCCAGCCTCCTGGCTCCCCAGCACCCCTGCCTGCCATGTGCCTGGTAAATCCCAATAAAAGCCTGCAAAAGCCACTGAGGACTCCAAGGACTCTCTCCTCCTTTACCTGGTCTGCTGGATCCAAAAACCTGCTCAGTGCCCATTCCTGCCCCTACAGAGTCATTCAGCCAAATGCACTTATTTTAGACATGGATGCTGAGATTACTTTGAGAGAAAAAGGCAGGATCTTCGAGTTAATGGAAACAGTTTCATTGCTGCAAGAACTTAGGAAAATTATAAAGTATTGTAGATGTTTCTCTTCCTGCTTTTGTTTCAATATGCTGATATGATAAAAAGAATTGGAAGCCAAGCCACCAGTGCGACTCATCATTTGTGGTAAGGACATTTTCCAAATAGAATAAGAGAGATGATACTTAATGTTGTACAATGTGACCCAAACACAAAATAATCTGTAAGCAAAACGTTTAAGAAGTTGAAGTTAACATTCCCCCACAATGATTCCCTAATTACAACATGTTTATAGATTCATTTCTTTGGGTATTTAAAGATTTTCATTGTAATACACCTTACTTCCCTACCTCAAAAGTTCTAGAAAGGACAATACCTTTGAGTTTAAATATTAACTCTTGTGTGGGGGAGGGGCCTGCTTTGTTCCTTGATATTCAAAGTGTGGGCCACAGATCAGCAGGTAAATTATCACCTGGTAGCTTGTTAGAAATCCTAATATCAGGCCACACCCAGCCGGACCAAATCCTGTGTGCTGGTAATTAGTAGGCACATTGCATTTTGAAAAGTTAAGATGGAACTTCAGGCTTATGTTCACGGATGATAAGGGTCACCAGTGTGAGACAAAATGAAAAAAAATAATTTGTAAGTGTGTAAGGCTAATTAATAAAATGTAGTTTATTCTGATACTGAGTTTCCTATTACTAGTTTTCTCCTATGAAACGAAGATGCATGCGTGTACATGTTTATGTATGTGTTTAGTCCTTTTCAAAATATGTGATAAGCACCCACAGTAATTTTTACTTTTGTAGGGTAATTAAGTGAAAAATCAGGCTTTTTACTCCTTCCTAGGCTTGGAACCCTCTGGTGATTGTGGACACCTGGGCCAGAGAGCACGGGGCATGGGCATAAGTAAGGGGGACATCTGTGCTGAAGGGCGAGGGGCTATGAGATTGAAAGACAGGGGAATGCCAGAGAAATGCTGAGAGAGAAAGCTGGTCTGTCCCCTCATTCAGCATCAAAGGCCTGTTAAAAACCGAAGGTTCCAAAATTATCTTTTCATCTGTGAGAATCAACAATGCATTTACCCGGCCTGGGATTGTAACAGGGAACCTTCCCTGGTACAGGATGGCTGCAAAACTCCCATAAAATCCAAAAGTAGGAAGGTGAGAGGATGAGTTACTCAAGACAAGTGTGGAGTTAGTAGACGAGGAGAAAGTGGAGGGTGGAATATCAAAGAAGAATATTTCTTTACATTTTTCTTAACAGTTCTTAACATTTTCCTTAAGTTTTTCCCCTCCCCCCCCACTTAGGGTGGGCCTCATATAAAAGGCTTGGCAAATTACCAAAATGTCACTCCACCTGGCACTGATAAGCCCTCTTCCTGCTAGAAATGTTCACAAGATACAGATCATCCTATGAATTACTGGAAAACATCTTTTAAAGTAGTGGGCCATGGCTTGGAAAGTAATCTCAAGTCCTAGGATTTCCTCAGAGGGGAAATCTTGCATGGGCTTATCTCACAAATAGTCCCTTTCGCTGAGAAAATCAAAGTCGTGTTTGAATGTTACCCTTTGCTTCAGAGATGTCTCATTTTGTTTTCCTGCATCAATACCGAGACACTGAAAACTTAAAAATGAAAACTATGCAAATGTGTAACATTTCTTCAAAAGTATACTTTGAAGGAAATAATAAGGAAGGTGAAAGGTGGGAAGGTCCTTGAAAATGAATATCATAACATTTGTGCATTCTTTGAACAAACTAGTGACATTTAAGATTGCTAAATTAACATTTTAATTTTTCTGACACAACTCAGTGATTCGAAAGGCAAAGTCCTGAGCTATTTTCCTTTTCTCACAAACCCCCATTGTTTCTCATGTAAATGTATACCTTGCATTCATTAATTAAAGGTTACTCTACAGCAGATTCTTTTTCTAATTTACCAAAGATCAGACCTTTTAATCATTAGAACAAACATGTTAGTTAGTAAACAAAAATGCTTATATATCAAAGACCAAAAATATTCAACTTTGTAAAATTATTCCTACACAGCTTACTTACAAATATTAGTTAACGTACCTTACCTTTCTTATAAAATTAGAAGTAAAACAGAAACACATGAGTAAATAAATATTTGATCTTTCCTGGTGCCTGCATCTTGCAATTATTAGCATGATGGGATTTTAAATGTTAAGGAAATAATAATTTGCCATCAATGGAGATGGGAGAATTTTGTTTATTAGTCTAGTGTGATTCAATTTGTGAAAATGTGCTTCATTGATCTTTGCAAAAGAACTTTAATTGGAAATGAATATCACAATCTATTTGCCACACCAATAAGCTCAAGTTGCTGCAGTTCATTAAGTACTACACCTGCTATTTAACTTTCCATGGGGAGAAACTTCATGATTTAATACATTTAGGGGTGGCCAGGTGGGAGTTCAAAAAACAGCAGTTTGATCTACTTACTTCTCTACTCATCCCAAGTTGTTAAAATAGGCCCAAATTTCCTTCTTAAGGTAAATATGACCTAGTACTTGATCTGGATATCCCTTTATCCTTTTATAGAGATATAAATTCTTAAGCACAAGTGTAATCCATTTAAATGATATTCTTTAGACTAAAAATCCCACAAATAAATGAGGAAAGTGTGTTTTTTAATATCATTGCACACAGGGGTTGCCAGATCACCCTTTAAAAGCAATCTAAAGCTCAGTGGGGTGGGGAGAAGATGAGAATACAGACGAAAGCACAAGCTTTTTATTTTAGGATAAAGCCGCAGGACAGATGCTAAATAAACAATATCAACAGCCACCCTCAACAGGGCAGATTCCCTTCAACAAATAATCAAGAAACAGCAGTCAAGGATAAGTAACAAAGCGCTCTATAAATTCTCTTAGATGAAAGAGCTAAAAATAATAGACTGGGTTCCCAAGAAAGACTCCATAGTTTTAGTTTTTTGAAAAATGAGTTCTTATATCAGGCAGTAACAGGGTTTGTGGAGACTTCCTGTGCTGAAATTTGAAACAAAACTAGGGCTGTGGGCTTGGTCCTCTGGAGTGCTGGGTCCCTAGGGGCTACCTGGGAGTAGTTTGGCTCCAGGCTGTGTATGCAAGTTGTCATTGTGAGCACAGTGAGAGTGCCCTAGGGCATGGCTTACCACCAACCCACCTTTTTCCCAATTGAAGTAATTCTCACTATTTTTTTTTTTTTATTTTAAAGATTTATTTATGCATAAACTGGGGTACAGGCCAGGTGTGGGGTGGGGGTGAGAGGATTCACCAGAGACATACTGGGAACAGAATGCTGACCACCAACTCACCTTTTTCCCAGGAGAAGTAATTCATTGAGTAATTTTAAATTTTATAAAGAGTGACTGGTACTTTTCTGGTGATAAAATGGAAGGGCTAATGTTTAAATTGTATTTTAATTATATTTGAAAAATTCACTGAAATTTATAATTTAGGTTTTTTTTTTTTTTTTTTTTTTAGTGCCAATGCTCCCCTATCCAAAATACATTCCAACTTTCTATAAAACTTATACAAAAATGTAAATTATTTTTGGACATATATTGTGATACATTTTTATGTGATTTTTTTTTTTTTCCCATAAGGTGAGGTATTTCTATAAGCAAATCAGAAATAAGAGATCTGCATTTTCTCCATTTTGGTTAATCTAGGCAGTTTTTTCTCTTTAAAGACAAATTAATGGGTTTATTCAACAAACTTGGGTACTGTTTTCTAGAAGACTTCAAGATGAGAAGCAGGCATGGGGATACACCCATAAATCAGATATCAGTGACACTTGGTGATTTTTAAAATGTGTGACATTTAAAATGCAGATTTTTCACCTCTGACCCCAAAAATCAGAACTAGGGAAGGGGATGTCAGCATATTTGAATTTCTTGAAAAAGGCCCTTAAGTGATTCTAATCGTAAACAGGGTTGAGAATCATTGGAAGAGTATAAGATAGACCACAAGCAAATAATTACAAATTAACGTGATAATATGTACACTACAGAGTAAAAACATGCAAGAAAATCCACAAAATTATCTCTTATTCACTCATAACAGCTGGGTTTGTAAACGGTACAGGAGGATGTTAGCTATTCCTTTACACAACTCTGAATACCTTTGTTTGCAAATAACAGGTGTAACTTCCAAAACTTAATAGTCAGCAATACATTGGGAAGGTTGAAATAAAATAACAACAGTCTTACAGAAACACAGATAAAAGCAGCTAATGTAATCTACAAAGTAAATGGCCTAAAGCAATCTGGATAAATATTTACAACTCATGACATTTACATTTTTTACTATGTAGTGGTTTTAAGTAAATTAAAACAATTTGAAAGCTAGATCAATTAAATCTACTGAGCAGGGTAGAACTCATTAGAGTATGGTTAACAACAAAGGAGTGCAGGCAAAGAGAAAAAGAGATTGATGCATGTTATGTGAAGGGAGGCTGCTGTGTGATGGGTATAACTAGGGCCCTTAGGCCCATATGTGGGAGTACAGGGAGTTCTGGAAAAGTATGACTAAACTGAAAACTTTTATTTTTTAATTGCTTGGGGATTTTTTTTTTAAAAGATTATTTATGCATAAAAAGCTGGGGTGCAGGCCAGAGGTGCAGGGGTGAGAAGATTCACCAGAGACAGAGTGGGGAACAGAAAAGACAGATTGACTGCAATACACTGCTAAAGGGAGCAGCAGGTGAGTCAGGAGAGATCTGCTGCGCCATGTGG